TCTTACTGTTTGCTGATGAAATGTAAACAGAAGGACTTCCGGGCTTCTACTTAAAGAGAGTTGGCCTGGCAGGAAATGCTCTGCTAACCTCCTCTGGCCTCCAGCATGGCTGTGAGAGAGTGGCATCCTTGGGGTCACCTGCCCCATGAGGTGACGTTGAGGATGCTAGAATGGGAGAGCAGGAAGTTAGGAATTTGGGTCTCTGATGACACTTTTGAGCCAAGCTGGCTTTCCTAAATCTGGACTTTCTTATGTGAAGGAAATAAACGTTTATCTATTCTAAGCTACTCTTATTTTGCTCTTTTTCCTGTTGCATGTAGCTGAACTGCACCCTGCCAAATATAGGGAGAAAAGGCTTGCAACAGCTCAGGAAGAGACAAGGAGGGTGGGACTAGGGTGGTGGCAGCAAAGGAAGAGCTAGGAGCTCTTACTATAGGGCTATCAGAACTGGTGGATGAAGTCTAGATTGACTCCTAAGATTTTGTCCAGCAGCAGGAAAAGCTAGGTAGGGAATTAGAAATAAGATGGGAATGTGGAATTAACCCCTGGATTTGGCAGAGCCATTTAGTGACCTTGGTGTGCAGTGTTTCTATGGAATTCTGAGCACAGAACTCTGATTGGGTGAGTTAAAGAGAAAATGGAAAAATGAAGAAGTGGCAAAATTGAGTATAAATAACATCTGTGAGGAGTTTTGCTATAAAAGGTAGAAAAAAAATGGGAAGAAGCTGAAGGTGGATGTTGAGGTCAAGGTTAGGGGTTTTTTTTAATAATTAAGATGAGATTATTCAGGCATGCTTATTAGCTGATATGTGAATTTTTGGTAAAGAGGGAAAATCAGTGATTCAGGCTTTAATATCTAGCACATTTGAGAGGGGTTAGTCTTAGAAATAGGAGTGAAGGCAGGATTGGTAGATTTAAGGGTACCTTGACAAGCAAAAAAAAAAAAAAAAAACTGAAGAGGAAATTGCCCTAAGTGGTTGATTTATACATGAAGTAAACATTGTACACATAAATTTGGAAATCCCAGGTCTCTTTTCAAGCCAAAGATCAGAAGTGATTCTCTTTTACCAGATAAAAAAATGTAGCTACCTCTAGGAGGACCCAAGCTAAATCACATGAAGAGCCATAGTGGTAGGGAAAACCCCCAAATACTGGCTCAGTCTTGTTTTAAAACTGGCTGGGATTTCAGAACTTAAAATTCTGATTGAGGAGATACTATATAATAAATGCTTTCAACTGTCTAGGGAATTTAGAACATTTTCCAGGGATACTGAGTATGAAATTCCTAATCAGAATTTCTAGTCCTAATCAGATCTGGTTTTACTTTGTTGCCATTTCTCCATCAACTTTAGGAGTGGAGAAAAAGCAGATAGAAGATGTAAGGGTTTAGCCACACTGGCCTTGGCCTTGATCACACAGAAAGTCATTTACTGCGGTAGAAGACATCGTTTCCCTCTGCTGAGATTTTAAAGGAAAGAATTATTGCCATGTTTGCATTCTACCACAGGACTAATACAAAATCAAGATTCATTCTTTTCACTTCTCAGCAAGTCACGCCTGCCATTTGCACTGTCTGTTGCTGGCTCGCTCTTTCTTTCTTTCTTTCTTTCTTTCTTTCTCTCTTTTTCTTTCTTTCAGCTTGGAGGATGGGCATGTCACAAGGAAGACAAAAAAAACAAAAATAGTTTAAAAGCTTCATCTGGAAAGCATTGTTATGTAGGATCACATTTTAAGAGACAGAGTTGATTCATGGCTAAGACTGTAGTAGTAGAGGGGAAGGATATGGCTTTGAATGGTGACCTGATTGCTCTGGTTCTCGGTGCAGTGAAAGGGATTCCGTCAACTAAAGTAACTGCTTAGCTTGCAGGCAGACAGACCCTCCCAAACCATCACATCTGAATTAATTCTAAGCCAGCAGAGCAATATATAATGGTATATCACATGATCTAAAATAGTCCTATTAAATATATAACTTCAGAGATTGGAATACGTTCTCAAGGAATTGTTTAAAGGACTTTCTTCATATTATTTTATAGATATATAAAATGACCATGAAAACATACATAATTCTGATCAAATTTCAAACTGTTCGCATTTAGGAACTTGAAAAGATTTGAAAATATCCCTCTTAATGTTTCAATCCTCCTCTTAAACCATTTCTAGCTGTCCTAAATTCCTTATAGAACAAAGCAGAGGATATGTGAAGATAGAATAAAATAAGACAAAACACTCTGGGATCTTCTCTAATCCTGGATTCAGCAGCATCGTTTGTTTTTTCCTCTCTCAAAGCCTCAATTAATATTAAGTTTCCACATGTGCCAGCTGCTTTCCCAACAAAACCTTTGCTGGCTAAGTTTGATCACCTAAGAAAAAATGGAAAGAGTTCTTATCACTTTAGGATTTGGTTGTAATCAGATAGACTGATGCATTATTGAATTCTATGGGGTTTGCTAAGATCAAATATCTTAGTGTAATTTATACTTCCTTATGTCTGGGTAAAATAATTTCTGAGCCTGGCATCACCATCTGGAAACCAGAATCAATTGCAAAGTGAAGAGTCCAACACCCCAGTTCTAATAAATTCCATGAGTACCATTCATTAATTTTTATTACTTGCTCCTACCTTAGGATTTTTATGGCAATTCCCCTTACCAGGAACAGCATGTTCATGGAGCTCTCCCAGCTCCTGCTGGCTCCGGGTCTCCATCTAAAGGTCACTCAGGGAAGCCACCTTGGTTGTCCTAACCTAAAGCAGCCCCTTCCCACGTTATCACTTGACCGTGTCTTATTTTTTTCAAACCCCTTTTTCACTTTCTGAACTTATCTTGCCCTATTATTATAATCATTTTTGTATTATTATCCTAACAACAAGAATGAGCACACATTGAGTTTTTCCTATGTGCTGCACACAAAGCACTGTATTTGATACAAAACTTTAAGTATGACAGCTAACATTTACTGAGTATTTGCTACTCTCCAAACCCTAAGAAAAGCACTTCACCACACCTGTCCTGGTCAGTGTTATCTCTTGCCTGGACCCTGCAGTGGCTTTCTAACTGGTCTTCCCCCTTTGGGGTACTAGGAAAAGGGTCTCCCGTTGGGCTTATACAGTTGGGACCAGCAGAGTTGGCTAGATTTCATCCCCCATTCCTACCCCTGGGCACAATTGCAGGCAGTGCCATTAATCAGGAGCTTTGGTTTGAGACATGATATATTTACATTTTATGAGGTGTCATCTGGGTAGCTGGCTATGGGTGTAGTGTTTGGGGGTTGCAGAGAGAACTGCAGATGTAAAGGCCATGTTTCAGAGCCATGCTGGCTATTTCATCTTTACATTTATTTATTTATATATTACATTATATGTCTCTTGTTCATTGTCTTGTCCATTCTCATGTAAGGGGAAGAGGGTTGTGACATGTCTGTTTCCTAATCACTTGTATTCCGGGGCACTGAAAAAACATGGTCGGAAGAATAAACTAATTGGGGATACCACTGCTTCCTACCTGTTCTATGGTTTCCTAAGCTGAGTGCATGGTAGGTCTGTATGTCAAATCTATATGTCAGATGATCCCATTCCTACCCTGTGATCAAAGCCAAAAGAGTTTTAAAAAGAAAACAAAATCTTCTAGGCTAGAAATATAACTTGTCTACACATACCACGTAGGAGGCCCTGGGTTGTGGACTTTATGGTACCAAAACCTGGTACTCAAAACAAAAACAAAACAGAAACCCCTCCACCACTTAATACCATTTACAACATAATTACTGAAAGGAGATTTAAGTTCAAAATGACATTCCATTTACCAAGAATGCCTTGGAGCTAAAACACACCAACACAAAGAGAAAATGGAAAATGAAGAATAATAAACTGGGGTTAGATAATACCTTCCTTTCATGGTGATTTCTGAGCTTTTGGCCATTTCTTGAGGGGACTGTTAGCATTTTCCTCTTACATTAGTCTTGGTCATTGCTGAAGATTCACTTTTGACTTTTGCTTTGCTATGTTACTAGTGAGGACTCTATTTCTATCTCCAATGAGAGGACATAAAGAGTGACTTTATTCAACATTTCTCTTGCATTTAGACTCAAGAATGGGAAAGATAGATGCCAAGGGCCTCAGCATTTTTATTTGGAATGGTCAGTAATGCTTTGCACAAGAGAAGAATTTCAAATAAGACCATGTATCGGTTACCTATTGCTGTATAACAATAAAACACTCCAAAACTTAGTAGCCTAAATAATAAGCTTTTATTATCACTCACGAGGCTATAGTTCAATTGGGTAGTTCTTCTGGTCTTGGCGAGGCCTGCTCCCGTATTAAGGCAATGACTCTGCTTGCTCATTTTGGTTGGGCTCCCTCCCATACCTGGACATCAGCTGGCTGAGGCTAGATTGACATGGCCCTGGCTGGAACATCTGAGCTCTCATCCCACAGTGGGCCACCCACTCATCTTCACATGGCAGTGGCAGTGTTCCAAGAGCAAGGCTGGCAATGCCAAAGCTTCTTGAGGCCTCAGCTTGAAACTGGCATGACATAACTTCAAAGGAAGGGATGGGGACATAGACTCCACTCCTGATGGAGGAACTGCAGAGTCACATTGCAGAGTGTGAGCACAAAGAGACCATTAGAATCATCCATGCAACACATGGGCTGGAAGGGTAAATAGGGATTAGAAGGTTGCCATGAAGGAACTGGTGTGAATCTCCTTTGATCTAAAGCAAAATATCTTTTGCCTGTCACCATTTCCCTTCCCACCTCTCAGGTATATGGGAAACATGTGAAGCCTGAGATTCTCTCCTGGCTTGTAGGTTTTAACACTTGAGCTGTACTCCTTCTCTCAGAAGAGACTCTCATTAAAAGTACATGGACTTGAGAAGTTTCACAGAAATACACTAAATTGTTATGCAAAAATGCCTGGCATAACCACTGTTTTTCTTGCATAATTAATTTGATTCTGTTGGTTTTTTTCACAACTAATGATTGTATCCTTCCCTCGTAGGATTACGCCCATGTGTTGACCTGTGTTACTGAAAGAGAAAAGTTTATTGTACCCATCAAAGCTAGAGGTCCACGAGCCATCCTGGATTTTCCCGACGAGCTGAATTTTTCCACTTGCCCTGTCAAATACAGCACTCAAAAGATTCTGTTGATACAAAACATTGGCAACAAAGACGCTGTGTTTCACATCAAAACTCATAGGTATGCATGCCTTGGCTCTTGTTTTTGATTGTTTACAGCTAAAGCTGGTCAGCATAAGTACTTTGCTAGAATAGCATTCAGGGTGGAATTGTTTGTTACGGTCCTCAGCTGTAAAGCCAGGAGACTTCACTGACATTAGATTAGACTTCCTCTTCATCCTAAGAGGAAGCTAAAAATCAAAGTTTAATATCTTATACCCACTTTTTACCAAAGCTTCCTGTTTGTTTGGTTTTTAAAAGTGTTTAATAAATGTCCTTCTTTTAATATATCATGGGAATTTATAAATAAAAATATTTGTTTTGACTGACAGTTTTTATAACTAGCTGTATTAGTTTGCTCTTGCTGTTATACCAAATTACCACAAGTTTAGTGGCTTAACACAAGATTATTATCTTACATTTCAGGAGTTCAAAAGTCTCACTGGGCTAAAATGCATTATCCACATTTCAGCAGGTCAGAGGTGTCAACTGGGCTGTGATCCTTTGGGAAGCTTGTGGGGAGAATGGATTGTTTTGCCTTTCCCAGCTTCTGGGGCCATCCGTATCCCTTGGCTCATGACTCTCAGTTTCTCATCTGAAAGTGGGGGAAAGTATTGTAGCCACATTATAGAATTGTTATGAGGAAAAGATAAATCAATAAATATAAATTTCTGATGTATAGTAAGTGCTATATAGTAAGTTTTGGCTCGTGTGTGTGTGTGTGTGTGTGTGTGTGTGTGTGTATGTGTGTTTTCAAATGAGCCAATTCCACAGTGGTTGGCAGAATAATAGTTCCCCAAATATGTCCATGCCCTCATCCCCAGAACCTCCAAATAGATAATGTTACATGGCAAAAGAGATCAAAGTTACAGGTGTAAGCAAGGCTGCTAATTAACTAACCTTAAAATGGGAAGATTATCCTGGATCTCCTGGATTGGCCCAATGTAATCACAAGGTTCCTAAATGTAGAACAAGGAAGTAGAAGGAAATTTCAGGATGATGAGATGTGAGAGGGACTCGGCCTACTGTTGCCTGCTTTGATGATGAGAAAACTGTAGGATAAGGAGGTTGTAGCAAGAGCACAGGGATAGAAGGCAGTGGAGTTGGATTTTAACCTGAGTATTTATGGAGTAGCTGTAGTGTAAACACCATGGGACAATATGAGAGATGATGAGACAGTCCCTGCTCTTGAGGAACTCTTACAGGATGGGAAAGAACAACTTGTTATGGGACATGAGAACAGAGGCTGCTTGGTGGGGCCTTAACAACATTGATTAGCTTGAGAAGACAGGCAGAAGGGATCAAGTTCTTTTTTATGACTTTTTCAAAAGTAGTATGTATATGGTTCTGGACTGTGAGCTCAATTTCAGAAGGGCTTTTTCTGTGGAATGTTTTTCTAGTTAAGGACATTTCTCTCCAAAAAAGGATTAGCTTTTGCTTCCACCCTGGTTCTCAAAGGTTAGACTACTATAAAATGATCGGTTGATGATTTCTTGGCTGAGGCATTCTTGGATTGGTGAAATATAATCCAACCCAAATCTGCATAAAATACAAAACCCAAAGCTATGACTTTCCTAGGGATACCTAGTTTCCCTTGCACAGAGACAAGATAGACATTTTCCTTTTTGGTGGTGAAAGAATGTTGTGGTAGTTCTTCAAGTTTCCCAGGTTTATGTTGGGATTTATTACCAGCCTCCTGATCCAAACATCTGAAAGCCTTGTCTCTTATTCTAGTAGAGTTATTAGGAACCCAGGCTTCTGATTATTGGGAACTCAGGATAAGACCTAGTATTAGTTCAGTGGCTTACTGCTCTGGCTCCTCTTTCTGCTTTGCTTTGGAATCCAGTGAGTTTTCCTTATTTTGTCCTATACATTTAATAAGTTTTACTTTATCCAGTTCTTCTGGCTATTTTCTGGTAAAAGAATTTTAGGTTATGCAGTCTACTATATTATAGTTAGCAGGGTTGCCATATTTCAGGTTGAAGGCACATCCTCCAAGTATTTCAAGAGTATCACTATCTCTAAACCACTTCATGTAAAGCCACATTTCTGTTTGGTAACATATTTCTCTTGGCTGAAAATTTTGTTTTTAGTATTTCTTGTAGCACAAGTCTACTGTAAATTTTCTCCATTTTTGTGTATTTGGAAAAAAGTCTACTTTTCCTTTATTGGTGAAAGATATTTTCTCTTCAGTATAGAATTCTAGGTCCACAATTATGTATATATATTTTCCAATATTTTAAAGATATTACTCAATTGTCCTTTGGCTTACATTTTCCTAATAACAAATTTGCTGTAATTCTTATCTTTGTTCTTCCACATGTACTGTAGTTATATCTTTTGGGGGGGCTATTTTCATAATTTTATTCTTATATTTGGTTTTTAGCAGTTTGAATATGATGTGTCTAGGTATGGGTTTTGTTTTTGTTTTTGTCTGGCATTTTGTTTTAATCTTACTGAGGTTCTCTGAACTTCCTGGATATTTCATTGATTTTGGAAAATCTCAGCTATTATCTCTTCAAATATTTCTCCTCCAAACTTTTCTTCTGCTTGTGGGGAAGTTCCATCTGCCACAAGTGAAAGCCACTGGTGACATGTGTCCCATCTCAGAAGAAAGGGAATTGACTGTCTTTAGATTTCAGGTTGTTTGTCTGTATTTTGTTTGCTTTGTTTTTTAATTGTTACGGTAAGAGAACTTTACAGTTTTCTGCATCCTAGAGGGAAGAAGTAAGACTTTCTTAACAACTTTCAATAAATTGACCATCACAGGCAAAAGCAACATTCTTTTGGTAATCAGAGTCTCCTGACATTGTTCATAAGTGCTTGTACTCCCTCTGTCATCTCATAGTAAGGCTCATATATTTTGACTGAAAAAAGTGAGTTGTTCAGGTTGGCTCCCCGTGGTTTAAAAGAATCCATGTTTTCAATTAAAAAATTGTCTCCCAAAACCACTATCCATAATATACAGTAAAAACTTCCCATTGTATAGATATATTTATATGAAAAAGAAAATCCACCTAATATGAAAAAATGAACACAGGTAGCATATCTTCTTGGACTGTTTGGCTGAATTTTTTAAATTACACATAATACAGAAAGTCCCTGACTGACAAACATTCAAATTGCAAACTTTCACAGATACAAACAAACAGACCTCATATTAAGAACATTCATAGATCCAAACAAATTGTAGAAGTAGCTCACATGTCTGCCAGACATTGTCACAGTTGTGCTGCTGTGCGCTTACTGTACAGTGTGATAGTGTACAGCGGTACAGCACTCAATCAGAGTCCAGGATGTCCAGAAGCAAGAGGAAAAACATAGTGATGTAGGGCCGGGGATTTAGCTCAGTGGTTTCGCCGCCTGCTGCACAAGCACAAGGACCGGAGTTGGATCCCCGGTACCAAAAAAAAAAACAAAAACAAACAAAAAAACCATAGTGATGTGGAGGGTACTGCTAGGAAGCACAAAGCAGTATACAAATTGTATCTTTGTGTCAAAGTTGCATAAGATTGACTTTGTCAGACTTATGAACTAATGCAACTCATGACCATTCTCCCAGAACAGAACTTGTTTGTAAGTCGGGGGCTTACTGTGTAGAAAGGACTAGCCAGGAATCATAAAGACATTAGAGACTCTAATCCAACCATCCCTATTTTACACATGAAGGAAGTAAAGCGTGAAATGGGAAATGGCTTATTCAAGTTTCCCCAATATCAAAACTTGGATTAGAACAAACAAGAGCCAGTTCTGGGCTTGTTTACCCTCAGATCTGTTTCTCACCTTCCTCTGCTTGGCTGGTATTACTGTAGAGACTATTAACTTTCCTAGACTCCTGGATCAGCTAGAGTCCAGCTGAGTTTGAAAGGGATTGGGGGACATGGAGAAGGAAGAAGCCAGAATGTTTATCCTCCTGCCTCTCAGTCTTTAGCAGAGCCCTCAGCAGCAACTGCATCTCCTCTAGGTTCTAGCTGCTTTCAGAATGGCCTGCCATGATTCCACCTTTTGCCAGGTTACCCTAGTCCCCCAGGTCTAATAACACTTTCTCCCTTCCTTTTGCCTCCAGCCCAAGAGTGGAAATGGCTTACTGCTGTTAACAGTTCCAGAGCTATTTCACTATCTTAGATTAGGTTTCGCATCTCTCTCATATTTTATGTAACTAAGACTCTCAATTAAATTCTCTGCTTTCAAATATTTTTGTTTTCCTGTTTAAACCCTTCATGAAGTGATAGTTTTATACTCTTTACACAAAATGCATGTTTTCCAGCCATGTTGTCAATTCTGTAAGCTGCCTCAAATCCTTCCAATTAATTCCTTTCCCGAATTAGCCAGTTAGCTTCTGTTGTTTGCTAGCTGAGAACCCCAATGGCTACAGTGAGAGAGGATGTGGTTGAATTTGTGGTGGTATCATATTGAATCAGGTTCTCTGAGGACATTCCATAGTAAGTAGTATTCTTTCCAAAAACTGCACTGGTGATTCTGCTTCCCAGAAGGGTTCTTAGTACATATGTTGTTAGTCTGCGTGGTAAAGTAGTGGATATAGTTTGAGAATTTAGAGTCAAAAGCCCAGTATCCATTCTTGGTTCATCCACTTTTAGGGTCATTACACAGCTAGATACAACAGCACACAGGAGATTCTTTTAAAAACAGAATATATTTTTCTCATTGAAATAATTACTTAATTGCTACTTTATAAAATGGTTAGATTTATATAAATTACAAACATAAAACTGTATGCAGCAGTTGTCCCCATTTAAATGTGAGCTTCTCAAATAAAAGAATTGTCTCTCTATTCATTTGTATGTCCCCAGCATTTAGTAAGCATCTAGCATAAAGAAAAGCTCAATAAATGTTTATAGGATTCCTAGCCAACAATATATTATAAAAGCAAAGCTACAACTATAAACCTCTACAATAATTTAAAATAAAAAAGCATGCTCCAAGTACTATAAAATGGGCATAATGTTTTTACACTAATAAAGGAGCTGCAATGTGCTATAAAATGTACAGAGAACATAAATCATTACCATTCAGCTTTATTACAATTCTAGCCTAAAACCCTAGAAGCTCCCAGAATGACTTTGACTGTTAAAGTAGGATTAATATTGAAAGGTGAAAGAGAAGGATTAAGAAGCAATTTCAAGTTGGGAATTAAATAAGAAAGATGATCTGAAGAAAAAACACTAACATTATATTAATATTTAATATAATAAGATGAGTATTTAGGCTTCTGAAAAAATAATGAACCATTTGGACAAAATAGTTTTAGTTCTTAAGAGCTCATGAGAGAACAAAAACTCAATCTTTCCCATGATTCATGATTTTTCACAAAACCAAGCTCCTTCCATAATTAAATGTTTGGTATTAATGAGAATATGATATCAAAATCAAACATTCTGATATCCAGAACAAGCTTTATGCCCCTGAGGAATAATACTTTTAACTTCCTTATAACAGCATTTTCTGATACTTGATATTTTCTAGCCTGTTCAGGCTGTCTGCCTTTAGTAAAATGAAATACAAAAATCAAATAATAGACCATGTTTAAGCACTAGAACTTAACACACTCTACCCATTATTGAAACATAGGCAATTCTATATGACAATGGTGATCCCAGGTGATTTTCTGTCTTCTGAAGAAATTAGTGTAATTTGAACCTAAATTAGCACAAAGGGAAAGTATCTGTTACCACCCGATAGAATTTGGATTCCTTCAGGTCCTAGAGACTATACCAGTGTCATCTCTGTAGAAAATTAGCTTAGCTCTTACGATGTAATAATATCCAGTTCATTTTAAATCTGTTCCTTTGCTACTGAGAAATATTTGAAAAGAAAATGAAAGCACAGTGCAGGAAGAAAAATAGTAGGAAGCGGAGAGGCAAAGATAGAAGATATTGCCATGTTGTTATTCTCAAAGCCAGAAAACTGGGCCTCCTTTCCAAGTCTTCAGATTCTCACTGAGGCCAGAAGAACAGAAAGAACTCAGCCTGGAAGACTCATCATCTCCCATGAACAGAGATTCTTGAACTGAAAGTGTACTTCTCTGTTTGACCAAGACATTGATGTTGTAAAAATTAATGGATAATTGCCTATACCTTTTTTTCCTTAAGATTTTATTCTAATTCAGTTCGCCATCCTCTTCTGAGAGGTTTCTGAAGTAAAGAACTATGTGTGGGGTGATGGGAGGCACAGACTGAACCTAACCTATAGCTTCCGCATCCAGGGGAGCACCAGGGTGGGCAGAAGGAACAGGAGCTTGAAGGCTGGCATCCTCCAGCTCTCCCACTACCTAGCTGGGAAACATTAGGCAAGTTGCCTGCCCTTGAGGGAATCTGTTTTTTTCATGTTTGTAATACAAATAACAATACCTACTTTCTCAAGATATTTTGGAGGATTAGATAGACATATGTAAAGTGTAGTACCTCCTAGAATAAAACATCTGCGCATGATGAATCGTGTCTTCTTCCCCTCAGAGACTATGTATGTTTCTTTTCTTTCTTCTTTCTTTTTTGTTTTTATTTTTGATGGTACTGGAGATTGAACCCAGGACCTTTGCACTGAACTACATCTCCAGCCTTTTTTTACTTTTTATTTTGAGACAGGATCTTGTTAAGTTGCTATGTAATTCAGGCTGGATTTGAACTTGTGGTCCTCTTTCCTCGGTCACCCAAATTATTACAGGTGTGCACTATCACAACCGGCTTGCATTTGTTTTTGTTTTTCTCTGTAGTTTTCCTTATACTAGAGATAGCTTTTGCGCATGCCTCTCAATAGTTAGAAACTCCTGAGAGGAAAGAAGAAAAAGGCAAATTTCATGAGCATGTACTCTATTGTCTATACTACACCAGGTGCTTTATATATGCAAGATTCTTTTTCAGAGGTGACTTTGAGTCTGGGCTGTGACTTTGGAAGAAATATGGCATGTGGGAAGTAGTGGGTGTTCTGGTAACGACCCTAGCAGTTCTGGATTGTTGATGTGGAGCGCACAATCTGGTTGGGAGGCACAGCAGGTGCCATGCTGAGAGAGCTTGTGGGTGAACAGACCAAAGTGTCCTACTCATCCCATCCCAGTTGACTGGACATGTGACAGGTGTGTGTGCTTTTTGAACAGATGTATGTGTGTAGTCAGAATGCAAAACCTGGATGGAAACAGATTGTGTGGGACCTTGAATGCTTACAAGTTCAATCCTATTGTGTAGATTATGAGGACTACTGAAGGTGTTTGAGCAGGAGACTGATGTGGTGTGTGTGTGTGTGTGTGTGTGTGTGTGTGTTTGACAGACACTCTCTAGAGCTAAGTATAGGATGGAGGGGAGAATGACAAAGCTCGAACTTATCTAAACATCCAAACTCATCCTTAGGTCCATCTTTCAGCATCTTGGGGCTGTAGTGAAGGAGATGAAAATAACAATAACAAAAATGGTATAAACACTTGTATACACCTCCCATGTACCAGGCATTATTCTTCACACTCTACCTCTATCAATCCCTTTAGTCTGCACTATAACCCTATGACACAAATGCTGTCATTACCCTCATTTAGGGTTGGGGAGGCTGAATTTTAAGTGATTTGTTCACAGTCATAGCACAGCTGGGTTCTGAACTCTCAGTTGGCTCCACAGCCTGGGGTAATAACCACCACTTCAGGGAGCTTCTATAGCAATGTGTGGGGCTCTCCAGAGGACTGGCACCATGGGTATAGGGAAAGGATTGAAAAAAGGGAAGACCAAGAAGTAGATGGAGGAGTGATCAAAGTAGAGCGCATCTGAGAAGACAGAGAAGTGCCTGGGGGGGGCGGGGGTTCAGAGACTCCAAGGTCCTGCAGTAAGACCTCAGGTACCGCTAATGCTACCCTTGCTATAAGTCTATACCCTCACAGAGGAAAGCTTAGGTTTTCTAAAATTAACTTCATTATCTAAGGGAAGATTTAAGGAATGACGATTCTAAAAACTGTTTTGATATAAGTAAATAATCAGAAACAGCCTAGCCTGCCAGATACAATGTACAACACATTACTTTGAAAAACTAGCAATTTAAAGGAGTGAAATGGACTGTGAAAATAATTAAATGGGCTGAGTTTCCTATTTGGAAGGAAGAGCCCCATGAGTTATTTAAGGTGCTTCTTGAACAGATCCAACTTCTTTCTTTGCAATAGCAAGATTCCTTTCCAGGACAATTCAGTGAAACTATTTTCTGTTCCCCAATCCACCCTCACTCCCACAATGTCTACATTCCAAATTCTATCTTCAAGACACAGAACTTGTCCTGTTTGCCTTTCCAAATGCACCCTGCCTGTCTCCAGTCTGCTTTTTCCCAGGGAGCTGACTTCGGTGGCCCAGGTCAATACGCCCTGTGCCTTCAGGCTTCTGCTCAGGTTCAGCCAATGGGAGTCCCAGGAAGTAACTGGGTAGAAGAAGATATGAGGTCAGAATATTTTTTACCTCATTATCTTCTCTGTGAGGCCACCTGTGCTGGCCATCTCCTTGGACTAAAGCTCCTTCCTCCTATAAGGCAGGCTTCTTTTAGGACTCTTGTTAGTTTCAAAACCCCTTCTCCCTGACGTTCCATGGGCCTAGAGATGGTAGCAGCCCTACTGGTACTAACCCTGGCTGTTGTATCATCTCTATAGTTCTCTACACTCCTCCTGTCCTCTTCAAGTAGGTCTTTGTTAAATTGTCCTGGAATTTCCTAATATCAATGTACCATCCCTTTGCTTTTGAAACTCTCATATCTTTTTCTAGTATGATGCCTTCTCTCTTCTGATCTCTCATAAAACTTGATTTTTACCCTTTGGAAGCCACTGTTCTTTTGCAAGTGACAGTATTTGCATACACATTTTAAGTCTGTCTCTTACTGGCATCTCAGTTTCTTGAGAACAAGGGCTGGATTGTATTCACTTGTGATCACCCTAACCCGAGCTTGAACCCAGCAAGAACACTCAATGAATGGTAGGAAAAAAAGGTTACAAACAAGAATATTATTACATCATTTAAGTCTCTTTTAAACGTGCTAATATATTGCTGTTATTTTAATATTAAAACTAAAGTTCTTATTATAAAACTAAACTCTGAAGGTGTCTACAGAGTTGGCTTCTTTTTAAATTTTTCTCTTTAAATCAGTACTCTAACAAGGATTAGAAAAGACAAAACTGTTCAGTGTTTCTGACAAAGTAGATGAACATGTAATATTTTACCTTATTTTGCTCAATTCAGTTGTTCAGAAGATCAAAGTGGTAAAGACAATGTAAAATTTAACATTTTAATACTTAGGTTGTACACTGTTTTACTTAACACTTCGGGGGCGTAGCTGCCTCTGACATCAACTCAAGACACTTGTTGCTCATGTAATCAGTTTTTGTAATGGCAGTCAGCAAATAAAGGGACCCTTATTATTCAAACTTGAAAAAAAAAACTAAAGTTCTTTCACATTAGGGAGAAAAGTATACTTCACTTCTGAGCCCGCTATCTGCAGAACTGGAGCTCAAGTATCCTCTCCTCCTCGTCTCCCACTAGTTAGAAATGTTCTCGGATGATGTGTGTCCATGTGTGTTGCAGGCCTTTCTCTGTGGAGCCAACTGATGGAACTCTTAATGCGGGAGAATCCATGCAACTGGAAGTGAATTTTGAGCCACAGAGTGTGGGTGATCACAGTGAAAGACTTATAGTGTGTTATGACACAGGTATGAATTACTCTTTGCTTAAAATTCTACATATTAAGAAGTCAAGGAAGGAATATGATGGAGCCAAATAGGAAATGATATTTTGGCTACAGCAGATTAAACGAAGGTCTGCAAGGTAAGGAACCAAAGAATGAATCCCTCCACTGGAAATAGTGTGCCAGATATAAGTCCCATCTACCTGATTAAGAATTCAGGGCTCAGGAAGGAACCAATACCCAGAAGTCACATTGGTGAATTGAGGTTATTTATATGTAAATGAAAACTTGAAGGTAATGAATATCCAATGGGTTTTCCATTTGACTTACTGCTGTATTTGGCTAGTGTTTTAAACATGTAAATCCTAGCTCAGAATGTTCTTATATATACCCACTAGTCTATGTGATAGCTAGAAACTTTAATCCTTAGAACATGCAAATATCTTTCATGAATGTAGGACTGCATCTATCGCCACTGGCATTTTCTTCAGGATCACAGCATATGTAATCATGAAAATTACACATTGCTTTGGCAAATATTTAACTTACAGTCGTGTAGACTGCATGTGCATTATGCCTTTTCCCAAAGCTGGTTTTCAAATTACTATTTTATCATTTCCCTAAGGCCTCACAGGGTAAACATCCCCACAGGGCATCCCAGCCTTGGCTTGGGCAGGTCAGCCCGCATGGAGAAGTTCCCTGGCAGGTGATAAGGGGAGGTTAAGGCCTTGGCCTTGTCCCTATAACAACTTTAGCCTTCCAAGCCCAGGTTGCCAGAGGTTGATGCCTGGAACTAAGGGACTACCCTACCTAAGAGCTAGTGTTTACCTGGAAGGTCCCGATCTGGTTTCAGTTGATAGTTCTCACCTACTGTTCCCCAACACTGAATCCCTCTCAGCCTTGGTGTTCTCTTCTGCAAAAAGACATATAACAGCAATAACCTACTTCACTGGGTTGTTATGAGGATTAGCGAGGCACTGCATATAAACAATTTAGCATAGCACCAGCCTCACAGAAAAGATCCCTTCAAATGTGAGCCATTACTCCACCAAGACTCAAGAAAGATAAGTACCATGTCAAAGATCACGAGGTTAGATAATTGGAGGAGTAGGGATATAAATCCCAGTATAGCATCAGGCCCTATCCCATGCCACAATCACAAAAGAGACCACACCCTGGATGTGATGCCATGGTCCCACTGACACCATAGGTTCTGAGTCTCCCATGCTCTTGAATTCGCCTGTGAACTGGCACTTCCCCTTACAGTTTGCTAACATCAACCCTGTGGCTTAGCAGAGCAGGAATCATGACTTTCTTCCTCCCCCACTTCTTGGACAAGCAAAGTGAACCTTAAGGCACTGTACATCAGGGTGGCTTCCCCCTTTCCCTACTTCTTGGAGGAAAGTAGGGGGCTCTGTCTTCCTCAGGACAGAAGGAACCAGAAGTTAAAGAACTGTGTGTAGTGAGACACAACGCTGAATCTGGGAGGCCAGGAGAAAGGGCCCTGCCACGACTGGGTGCTTTCAGGCAGTTCCAGCCCCTTCTGGGTTTCTGTTCTTCCACAGTTCCCAGAGGTAACAGGATCTCCCAAGGTAGCCCCAGGATTTTTCACTTCTGAGGAAGGTGGTGCGCCTGAAACCCACACCCGCCCACATGGCCACTATCAGAACCTGACTGGAGCCCCAGCCCTGGGAGTATCAGGAAACCCCAAAGGAAGACAGATTGTGGGAGGGACCCAAAGCAGTAGCATCCAATGTCCAGTTTTCACTGAAAGCTCACAGCCTGAGTGGGGAGGCAGTCAGTTCAAGATCAAGCAGCTGCACCCTGCCCTGCACCAAGTCGGAGTCCAACTTGGTCCCTGGAGTGAGGGCTAGGCCCTCGGAGAGGTACTGAGCAGTATATAAGCTGTACCCCAACTGCCTCTGCCTTTGATCTCATGACCAGGGCAGCCTGGAGTACCCATGGCCTGAGTCTGATACTGGCTGCAGCGTGGGCTTTGGCTGAGCTGAGAGCATGGCAGGTGAATGTGGAGTTCCTCCGCTGGAATCAGTGGCTGGACCACCCATTTCCATTAATTATTTCATGATTTTTCTTCATGTCTTTCTCATTTTAACCATTCTTGTGGATAGATGGACCCAGACTGTCCGTGGAAGTGCACTGTAGGGAGAAAACAGAAGTACACAGCCAAGAAAAACACTACAAGGAAATGATATCTAAGTCACAGTCCCAAGTTGCTGGCTTTGTGGATGGATGCACATCTGATCAGGACAATTCAAGCCCCTGCCTATGACCTATAGCTGAGTGGCCCTGGCTCCACACTGCCCCGCATAGCAACACATAAGCAGCCAGTGGCCCAGTCTTACCATTAGTGTTACTTACAATTCACTGCTGAGACAAATCTAATTTGAACTAGCTTCAACAAAAAATGAAACTCATGACACATATAAGTAAATAAAAGTACAACTCATAACACATCTGGAATGTTACTTTCCCAAGGAACTTGTGTTATTTAACACTTTCACCAACAAACTGTGAGAGTTCCAGTTGCTTCAAATTCTTGCTAGTGTACCATGTTGTTCTGTTAATTTTAGATATACTAGGAGGGTAAGGTGATCTCACCGTGGTGTGCCAGTAAATCTTCACTGTCAATTTGACTGGATTAAGAGACCCCTGGAGAAGGGCTAGGATTTAGCACAGTGACGCTGTGTGTGGCTCACAAGTGCCAGGTCCTGAGTTTGATCCTCAGTACTGGAAAAGAAAAAAAAGAAGAGAGTGACTCCTGGAGAGATGATTTGGATCATGGGAGCACTGTACTTATTAGTGGGTTAACCCACTGATGTTCAAGGCTGAGTGTACTGTTAGGAGGTGGGGCCGGGTGGGGGTGGATAACTGAGGGCCTGCCTTTGAAGCGTAGATCTCTAGCATTCTTCCCCTAGGCTCTGATTCCCTGCCTCCATCAACTAAACAGCTTTGCTCCAACATCCTTCCCAGTGATGCTCCTGCCTTCCCGCCAGCCATCTATGGACTAAATCCTTTGAAACTGCAGGCCAAATAAGGCTCTCCTCCTTGAAGTTTCAGTGTCAAGGAATTTTGTTCAGCAATGGGAATGCTAATACAAGTGATTTTCATTCTTATTTCTCTAATGATTAATGATGTCAAAAACCTTTTCATGTGCTTACTGGCCATTCCTTATATCTTAACTGTCTAAGCTTTTTGCTTGTTATTTTCTCCTTTTATTATTAATTTGTAAGTGCTCTTTACAACTGGATATTCTAAGTACTAGTTGTCTGATATATATTACTAATATATTACATTAGGTTATTATTAATCTTTTCTCCCAGCCTATAACTTATTTTTGTATTTACTTAATATTTCTTGAGGGTAATTTTTAATTTTGATGAAATCCATGTTATCAATTATTTTTCTTTCAAATTAATGCCTTTTGCCTCCTTTGCCTTTGTATATTCTCCTGCGTTTACCTCTACAAGGGTCATAATTTTATCTTTTATATTTAGGTTAATAGCTCATCTTTGATTTAATTTTGGATAAGTGTGAGGTAGGGCTGTTTATCTCACCCACCATGGGGAGTCATTGGCTCGTCCTCATTCTCAGTATATTTTTTCTGGAACATTGATTAAAGTTAATTCAGCTTGACATTTATAAGAGATATTCAGTGGATACTCTATCAGATTAAGAAAATCCCTTTCATTCCCTAGGTTTTTAAGACATTTAAACTTGGAAATCTTGGGATAGGTGTTTAATTTTATCAAATACTTCTTTATATTTGTGGAAATTATCATACATTATTTCACCTTTATTCTTCTAATGCAGTGATTAATTTTAAAATGCTAAATTCCCACTATATTCTGGGATAAATTCAAGTTTTAAATATTACCATTTTAATAAATCATTAGATTATATTTGCTAACGTTTTGCTTGGGAATTTACAACTCATATTCATGAGAAAATGTGGCTTGTAAATTTCATGTGATGGCCTTGTCAGATTTTGGTTTTTTATTTGTTTTGGTACGGGGGATTGAACTTGGGACCTTGAGCTTGCAAGGTAGGCGACAGAACCACTGAGCTAAATTCCCGGCGCTATTGGGGTTTTGATTTTAGAAAAACAAACTGGTGTTATAAAACAAATTGAAAATTATTCTCTTCTTTTATTCTCTGTTAGGCTTTTTTAAAAAAAGATTAGTGTTACTACTTCCTTAAATGATTAAAAACCTTACTGTTCAAACTATCTTTTAAAATAAGAGGTGCAAATTTTTAATTATTGATTCATTTTCTTAAACTGTTTTTCAAGAAATTTTATATGTGATCTAAAATCTTAAATTAGTCAGCATAACATTATTTGAGATAGCCATTCATATATGTTTGTCATGTTGGTAGGATCTTTTGTGATCTCTCTTCTGTCATTATTGATATCTGGCAATTTTTTCTTCACTCCTATTTGAATTTTCTTGATCTGTATCATTAGGACCTTATCAGCTTTATTAGTTTATTCAGAGAACTAACTTCTAGTTGGTTTTCTTTATCATTCATTTCTTACCAATTTTATTGCTTTCTGCTCTTTATTATTTCATCCCTTCTACTTTCCTTAGGCTTTGTTTCTAGTACTTTTTCTAAATCTTAGGAGAGATGATTTGAGCATTAACATGTTTTCTATTATAATCTACATATTTAAAATAAAAATTTCCCTCTAAAGACGATTTTATATTCAACTAATACACTTTTACATGTTTTGTTTTCCTTAACATTTAATTAAAAGTATTTTAGAATTGCTATGTTTATATTTTCTTTGACCTATCGGCTACTTAGGAATATGTTTAATATTCAAACACTTAGAAATGTTGTAGTTATCTTTTTGTTACTGGTATCTAGTTTAATTCCACTAGTGACAATGAACAAATTCAGTAGGACTTCCATTCCATAAATGTTCTTGTGCACTGAAAAAGATACAGGTTCCATAGCTATAAATTAGGTCATGTTTGCTTAAAAAATCATGTCATTCAATGTATA